TAAAATAAGAAATTATTTTCTTATTTTAAGAAAATTTTCTTATTTCAAGATTTTTTTTTCTTGGGAGAATAACAAGAAAATTTTCTTAATAAGAAAATTCTTTTTAAGAAAAATTTCTTGATTTGAGAAAATATTTTCTTAAAATGAGAAAATATTTTCTCAATTTAGGAATTTCTCTCAAGAAAATTTTCTTAATAAGAAAAATTTTCTTAAGAAAATTTTCTTATTAAGAAAATTTTCTTATTAAGAAAATTTTCTTGTTATTCTCCCAAGAAAATATTTTCTTATTTCAAGAAAATTTTCTTAAAACAAGTTTTTTTTTTCTTAAAATAAGAAAATGATTTTTTGCTGTGTATATAGATTAAAATTTCGTCTTTAGTATTTTATGTCTTTAGTACATACATACAGTAGCTATATATTCGGAATTTGTTTTATTTTGTATTTCAACGTCATTTGCAGCAACATTTTCCCCCAGACATTGACTAGCAATTCGATATAATGTCATCGACGATGAAAAAACAGTATACAGCTATTTCAATTAAGGTTGTCCCCGAGCAAAGCGGAAAAGTCGAATACGAGCGCGAAAGGCTGCTGGGAATCGCTAATAAATTCATTCATTTACTAGCAGTAAAATAATAAAGTGGGGCGCATCAGGGCGCAATGTGACTCAATGGGTTAATTACTATAGACACATGAGCATTGGGCAGATAGGCCAGCGCTCTCCTCTTGACAATATAAAATTGTCTGGCGTTATATATGTACCTCCTTGCTTTTTTCTTCCATTGCATAAAGCTTGTTGGTGAGCCAAGCGATTGGCGATAACACATTGGCTATCTCCTCGTCTTTCTTATTAAAATAAGAAACTCTGGCTCAAATGATTTCCTTCGTCTCGCAATATTTTCTTCATAAACGCCTGTACGAACGCCCGCTTCTGTTTAATTATGCTTTATTGATCTGATGCAGGTCTGATCCAACTTTTTGCTCTTTGTACTAAGTGTACTCATCTATTCTGTGATGTGGCACCTTATACAGGCAAATAACAGTGTATAATGAATGCACGGTTTAAATAATATCGTCTATGGATGGGCACTTAATTGAACGCCGGTAGTCATAACATCCATTTATATATCATATTATTGCATAGAATCTCAAACATTTTCTCAATATTCATGTCTGAAATGTTTATATATTTGAAAACAACACTGTCTCGCTTCTTCGTACATACTGTACCTCTGTATAATGAGTATACCGTGAAAATAATATCAGCACTCAATTGAATGCCTAGAATCTCAAAGATTTTCAGCTCAATATTTTATACGTCCGAAATGTTTATACACTTGAGTCTTAAATGCACTGTCTAGGCGGTCTAGCTCCTTCCTAGCTCTGTATAACGAATATACCGTCTAAATATTATCGGCACTTAATTGAACGACCGTAATGCATAAGATCAATTTATATATTGCGTAGATTTTCAAAGATTTACTCAATATTCACGTCTGAAATGTTTATACATCTGAAAACAACACTGTCACTCCTTCCTAGCATATCGTCACGCCATCGTGATCTATGGCATGATAGCGCATGCGCATTTGCGCTACTAAAGAAAAAATCGGGTGTTCCGGGGTAAAGATCGTTGACACAACATGAGAAGCAAATGTTCTAAAATTTACAAAGAATTACAATAACGAAAGCGATTGCTCGAAATTTTTGTGAACTTGGTAAAAGGATAACAGAATATGTAAATATCATGTTAACTGAAATTGCCTAAATAACCTTCAAAGTACTGACTAAGCAGAATAAATCACTACGAACATAAATCATATACACCCCCCGGAAAGTTTACTCTATGACTGACTGAATGACTGACTGACTGATTCGTGTGAATTTTCCCCAGGTCATCACAATACTGTGAAGTTTCGAAGAAACTTCACACTAAAAATTAGTGTAAAAAACTCTAAAATTTTTTAAAAAAATCATTTATGCTCTGTTAGGACAAAAAGACAGTTTCAGTCAGATAAAGTGTTAACTAGTTAGATTAATAAACATGTAAATGTTATGCATGTTAGTAGAAATAGTTTTGGTGGGACTTAATTGGATCTTATTTAAGATCTGTTGTCCTTTTCCTTCAATCATTTCATTTTTGTTAATATATGTTATTGATTGTAAAGTTTATAAAAAAAAATTAAAAAACACAACAGAATTAGTTAAGTACAGTACAGTACAATACAATTATACTAACGCAATGCAATAAAACACAATATGATACGATAGCGAAATTAAGATTTGACCTGGAGCCATCACATGCAGAGCTCTACCCATGAATCCAATCAAATACACTTAGTTTAGGTGTAAAAAAATACTGTACCTGTGGTTCCGGTTTCATATCGTGAAAAATTAGGGTCGGTAGGTCGGAAATTAATTTTTTTTTGAATATTTTTTTCATGGTCTTGGCAGTTTTTTGCTGGGCGATTTGCAGTAGAGTCCCAACATCAATGTTAACTAGCGATGCGTATTTCCTATGGACGAATTTAGGCAATTTGGTTCAATAATTAGTGTGACAACAGATGCCATTTTGGCACGCTGTATGAGCAGCCCACAACCACCTGGAGAAAATAGGGTCGCCCGGTCAATCACGTTGAAAAAATAATAGGGTTGGCAGAAAAAAATAGGGTCGGTCGGGAACCGGAACCACAGGTGTTTTTTTTTACGCCTTACCAAACTAACCAAATTATATGGGTTTGCGTACTAGGTCAGCAAGATCGAGGCAGTGGTGGCGGATGCCAAATCCAAACCTCGCTATGAATATACAGGCCTTAAAATATCGGTCGGTCGCGGACATTGTCCGACCCATTCGTGTTTATGTCTTGTTCGTTCCCAGCTATGCTATGGATCCCAAATTTGGGCACCACAATCAGTAACCTTAATTAAACGCGTGGAAAGACTTCAAAGACGCGCAACAAAGTACATCCTGAATCTGCCCTTCCGTTGTGACACAACCTACAACCAGAGACTTGCACTTTTAGATCTCCTTCCATTGTGCTACTGGCATGAATTTCTAGATATGGTAACCTTCTACAAATTAACGCATGGCATCATGACCATTGACAGTAATTTAATACAGTCGTCACCCAATAACAACAGAAGACAAACCAGGTCGTCTAATCCCAATCATCTGTCAATCACAACGGCACAATGCAAGACCACTACCTACCAAAGGTCATTTCTCAACCGAACAAAGAGACTATGGAACGTATTACCAAAAAGTTTGACAAGCAATAACATTAGTTTAGGACAATTCAAAAACGGACTTTCAAAATATTACAAGTTAGCGTTGGAAGACGTTTTTAACGTTGATGATCCAAGGACATGGAAATCTATATGTTTGTCTTGTAATAAGTCTCGTAATCTGTCCTGTCAAATATCGTGTTGTTATTAGATTTATGTTCGTTGTATATTGTTGTATAGTATTAAAATAGTTAATGGGGCCGCTGTAATTGGTGAAAACTGTTGCGTGCACCCTGCCAATGAAACACATATTATTATATGTTGTTGTAAATCAGTGGTGTTATATGTTGCATGTTACTTGGCAAAGTTAAATAAATTAAATTAAATTAAATTGTCCAACGTAGAGAGGAAGCCACCGGACATTCTGTCCAACATAAGTGAAACTGAGGTTTACTGTTTGTCCGACCCGAGTGTATTGGTGTCCGACCGAACTGTAGCTTTGTCCAACGTAAATCAATCAGCAGTAAGGCTCGTATGTTAATTATGGAAAATCAGAGGACTATTGGGTATTGCACAAAAAGTGAACTGGAAATGTTGTTTTAATGTAGCTGATCGAGCGCGGGGCGGTGACGTCCGAGTGAAATGGTGAAGTCTTACTGCTGTTCGATCTTGCAAGCAAGTTAATTTTGGCTTGGAACCTGGAAATAAGTATGAATGGCACAAATTATTTAATATCATCACAACATTTACCGTTCAGAATCAATACATTGTGCTGATATTCATTTGTGTCATTCAGACTTATTTCCGAGTCAAAACTGAACTGAAGGTCATCGGACATATGTCCGACCCAACCTCAACGTCATCGGACATTTTGTCAGACGGCCCTGCAAAAGATATTTTAAGGCCTGAATATATATGAAAAAATCCAATTGGAATTTGGGCCAATTTCCAATTGGAATGAGTTTTTCAGTCCGACGTCAATGGATTCCAATGGGAAAATTTAAATTCAGTTAAGTTCTTGACTGCTGACTGGTCAGGTGATATTTTGCGGCCATTTCCGTTTGCATTAAAAATCGTAGTATATTTCCGGATGTTGCGTAATTAGTCGGTGTCCACTTGGCGTAACCTCCGGCGTAAATTTTTTATGGATTCCAACCTGGCATCTAACAATTGTCCGGGTGCTGCACATTTTCCCTCTTGGTGTCTCCCCGAGGCTAGGAATTTGCCCTTTCTTTCCAAAAAAATGCTAATGTCCGGGTATATTCCGGGGTAGTACTCATGGAATTGACTCATGCATAATGTGCATTAATTCTTACATGTATGGCCCATTAACAAAATTTTGCCATCCTGTATATTACATTGTATAATTAGTTCTGGATAAATACATCCCTTTTTGACACAAATGCAAACAACTGCAACCGTGTACCTGACCTATACACCATTAGGGCTTTATTAAATCGAGGCCTTAATATATTTTGTATTGTTTAATAGTCCTGTATATTTTCGTTTACTTTAAAACCCTATTTAACTTACCATATAAAAAGTCATAATTCCTCGTAGGCTGCAGCTGAGTCTTTGTTATTGTATTAGTAGACGTCATTTTCGAAAAAATAAAGCATGTAGGCTACTCAAAACAACTTTTTTCAAGACATCCTAAAGAAAATTGATGGTTTTCTGACACAGTCTCGTTCAATGGCGTATGGTTGCCAAGGCTACCAATTATACTGACGGGCGATTACGAACAATTCCGAACTCATTGTTGCTTGGCAACAGGAGATTTATCAATAAAAATGCAAATATAAACTCAGCCACAACTACAAGGCCCAAAAGTTGATTCATAGCTCATATACTTCAAACCAGTAAGCGTTAAACCTACTAAATTTTTATAAAATATTATGGCTAAAGAACTGTCGTTTCTTAGTGAACTAAAAGCGACGGGCCATGGTGAAGTATGGGACCACACCACAGATCGCAATAAATTTCGACAGTTTGGTTGGAGATGTACAACAAATGAAACGGCGTATTCAAATGATACTTTAATTGGGAATTGGAATGAACAGAGATTCGATATTCATAGGATGTTTCAACGACAGCCGATACCGTCTTCTGTAAGTTACAAACTCAAAATTTATAGTGAATTTTTTAATGTCCAAAACATTTATTATGGCATTTATTACATAATGTCTCAATCAATTCAATTCCATGGGTGCCCATTCCTCCCCGGGCGTTTGTCGGGCATTTGTCATTTTGGGGAAAAAACGTTGCAAATGCACCACCACGGGGTCAAAATAATCCAACAAAATCCCCACCATTGGGGACTTACATTGACCCAAATGCCCCACCACAGAGTAACGACACACAGAAGGTCGACTCGAGTAATCGCGGCCACGCCATGATTCATCATAAAAATGCTGACGCCATCAGCCTAGCCAGTGCGCATTTGAGAGGCATTCCCCCCTGGACATCTGCCATTTTGAATATTATCAGGGGGTGAATGCCTCTCAAATGCACATTTTGATGACGAATTACGGTTACACCAAAATCATTGGAAAATCATTAAGGAAAAACCAAGAAGTCGGGCTTCTGAGGATTTCTGAAACAAAAAATTGAATGCTGGCTCTATCTCATATCAATATATCTGTATTTAAAGTCGATTCCGTAGTTATAATATAAACAAACTCTGTACTCTGTACGTGAAAATCCTTCATGTCCGCCATCAGGCCTCGAAATAAATCTGGTCATTATACCGGTCATTAATATGACCGGTGGATCACTAAATTTGACTGGTCAACTAAATTTGACTGGTCACAGCGGAATTTATGCATGCTGGTCATTGTCACACCTTAGCTTTGGAATCCTGTGACGACTGAATTGCTCCTTCAACTTCTTAACAACTGCCGTCGTTATATTAAGTCGCAAGTGACAACTGCAGAGTGCAGTTTGAGTCGCGAGCATGCTTTTAAAAGGCTGCATTCCATTTACACGTTTTAAGGGTTTTGGCATACGCACCTAAAAGTTGAAATCGCTTTACATCCTACTTAATAGTGAAATAACTAAATTGGTAAAAGGACAACATTCAGTTTTGTCATAGTTAATAGAGGTTTTGTATTATATTAACTATGGTTTTGTGTATGCATGATTTAATGTGCATTTGTTAAGGTTATATTTGTGTGACAAATGTTGCAGTTTCACACCATTGTGCACCAGACATGTCCATGCAGCGCACATGCATCGACCTTTTTATTCCATACTCACGGTTACCAGATGCTTCATTAGGCCCCAGTTTCATAGTTTCAATTTTGCTGCACATGTATCAATCTTTTTATTCCATACTGGCTACCAGATGGTACTTTGAGCTTAACTTCTAATACATGTTATCGAAAAAGTAGTTCCAGCAAAGAGCTGATGTGAGCAGCAAAATTACGTTCACTTGCAATATTGTAACTGTGATTGTAACATTCTGTGGCGTAGTTAATTTTCATTAAATTTTGGTCATATCTATAAGGCAAGGAAAAAAACATTGGATGGACTGATGAAACGAATAATTTAAGACAGACGGTCAGACAAAAACGATAAAACGTGGACAGTCAAACAAAAATGATACACGCAGACGGTCAGACAAAAATGATGAAAAACGCAGACGGTGAGACAAAAATGATAAAACGCAGACGGTGAGACAAAAATGATGAAAAACGCAGATGGTCAGGCAAAAACGATAAAATGCAAATGGTCAGACAAAAACGATATTACGCAGACGGTCAGAAAACAACGATAAAACGCAGATGGTTAGACAAAAACGGTGGCGTGCCGGCAGACGAAAATGATAAAACGCAATAAAACGTGGACGCGGTCAGACAGAACGATAATACGCAATAAAACGTGGACGCGGTCAGACAGAACGATAATACGAGCATGGACAAACCATGACATTGCCATTGGTATACACTGTGCTCTATATCTTTCCGAAGCAGCAGCAACACAAAATGAACATCTCGTGGCTTGTCGTCACCGGCTATATAATAGAGACCTTACGATTTTAGGACGGCAACCGCGACGGCCAAAACAAACTCCTTGAAATACATGGTAGTCGATAGTTCGTCGTATATTATCAGTCGTATGAATTTAATACAGTTTTAGAAGTTGAAGACATGGGTTTTATGTTTGGGAAGAGTTCTGCTAAACCAAGTTTGAAGTTGCACTTGTTGTGGCTTGGAATGCAGCCGTTGTATCAACACGTGAAAATCTGTGATTTAATTGGCGTTGTAAACAGAGCGAGGACAATGTCTAAATTATTCATTTATTGTAATTACTCAATTCTTTTCAATAATCGATAGATAGATAGATAGATAGTTTATTGAAATTTACATTGCAGCCATAAGCTGAATTAAGTAAAATTTACAAGAATTGATAAAAGAGAGGATCTTAAAACATGTTGGAGAATTCCACTATGCATTATATATGTACAAGTTAGAAAATACAATACCTAGATGCTAATTATGCCTAAATTAGGTTACGGTAAAAACTATTTCTGAAATGGTTCATTGTTTAAAACAGTTCTTGAACTGATCGTGTTTATACTTAGATTGCCTAATACTATTGTTAATTATGCCTTAATTGAATTACTGATGATAAAACTATTTCTATAACGGTTCGTTATTACTCTATTGTATTGGTAACCGTCGCCGTCGCGGTTGCCGTCCTAAAATCGTAAGGTCTCTAATTAATTTATGAATCTTTATGGCATGATTCCGATCCAACTTAGAGTGTATCTCTGATAATACCTTACAGAATATCTAAATTTTGTCATCCTGCAATCAGTTGTCTTACAACTAAAATCTGATAGTATATTATTCAGAATATTTTTGAGAGGCTGAGAACCGATATCGATCGTAATAGCAAGTTTGATCAAGTTTAGTCATGCTTTTTCTTTTGTAGTATGCACATTATTTTGAAACGACATACGTAGCTGGCCATGGTCCAAAAAAGCCGAAGAAGATTCCTGCATCTTTAAGAAGTATTCAAGGTATACTGATACCGCGAGTGTGCACTAATTACAACACACTGCCCTTAAGGTGGCACCCTACAGTTGAAACAGCAGCGAAAAATAAGATCTTCACAATGACGAAAAATATTTGCTTATGTGAAATGGGGATATTTTTTGGAAGTAGAAACGCCGTAATTGTTGGAAAGAAGCAAATTGTGTGTTGGTATGGTAAAATGTGGCCTAAGGCTAAGCGCACGGAAGAAGTTATTTCGCTCACCTCAGAATGACATTTCGTCAAACTCTTTTCTTCAAGATTGGTTTAGAAACAAACCTGAGAGTAGGGTTAGGTGTTGGTGTCAGTTGTGTAATATGAAATAACAATCATCATTGATAGCATGACTTTCTTTTCTACGTGTGGCAGTGTGTAAAACTTGTTTGCAGAAATATATTTCACTTTCTTTATAGTTAGTACTTTACCGTTGTTCGTTTTTTTTGTGACTTGAGACAGTCACTACTATGACCATGTATAGTTTTGCTGAAAGTACACACTTTGGAAATTGAACTTTGGCAGGAAATATTTTGCGTCTGGAAGCCTGCTGCCAGGAAGAAAAATATTTTATCAAGGCCTGGCGTCATCATACTAATTATCGAGTATCAATTTGATCGCTCTGCGGTAAATTGCAATTTCTTTCAGTAATACATGTCAAATGTAAGGCCACGAGCGTTTAGGCACTCATTCCAATGAAGAGCATTGCGCTTTCGTTGGCGTCTTAAACAACACGAAATAGTTCGATGTATATATGCCTATACATGCAAGTAGTTGTTTCGGCTCCGATCTGCGTCTATATTGAAAGCGTCAAGTTCGAAAGCAGCACCTTCCTTGCGATAGTACGGCCTGCTCTACTTACTTAATTATTACTACCCTCTATTACTATCATACTTTCTAATATCAAGTATATATTCTGTCATTAACACAGGTCGAGAGCCAACAGCGTATCCTGGACATCAACCAGAACTTGATTCACCAGTAATTAAATCTCAATATAATTCATTTATAACTACATCAAGAGAAGCATACAGGCCTCCGAATGAGCTGAGAAACAGACAACTATACAGCGCTAAGCAAGTAGATAATATTAATACTTCTCAATAGACAACAGTTTAATTCAACTGACATTGGAAATGTAAAACCAAATGCCAACATTAGTAATTACAGTACTTATAATAATTATTTAATTTTTTCGATTTCTTTTTTTAATTGCTAATCTAATGTTCTGCAATATAGTGGATTTGAATGTAACAAGCACGAATTTAATAGATATATTATTTAGCTAAAAAATACCCGCAAGCCTGACACCTTTATTCATCATTTCAGGGTTTGCAGAAATTTAATTGTGTGGTTGATTTGATGTGAGCTTGCACTACAAGCTAGGGAATGACAAATAATCCCAATACTACAAATTGAAATGACTGCACTACTTTTAATGAAACAAGTTTTTAAATAGCATTCATCAATAATTTATACATACATTATTAATTAATATAAAAGTTACTAGCTATAAATAAAATATAAATCACTATTTATTAAATTTAATACGCTAATTATGCGTATATACCTGTGAAATCTGCGCGCAACAAAATACCTTATAGTTATATAGTGATACGCCTGCATGTGAAAGAAACGCGCATTGTTAACATGTAAGATAATTAACTTTACAACATTTGCAGAATGGAATATATAATAAATGCTTCTAAATATAAAATGGTATAAACGATCTCATGACTAAATGTTAAGTTGCTCTCGCACGCTTCGATTTGTCGTGTACGATTTGACGGGTTTGTATTCTGGTGGCGTACTGTATGTAATCGAATAAGCACGTGTGAAGTAGTTGTATTTCAAGTTTCGCTGTAAACTAAACAAAGAGGAATTGTGACGTCAGCAATAATTTTGATTCGCCAGAATATGAATCGTGACAAATCGTAATCGTGTAAACGTAACCCTCACATATAAGTCGAAAAAGAGAGTTTAATGGAATTGCATGGGAATGCTATGCACTCTGCATGCACTTCATCCAAAACCGTCAACTGAAATGGCCATTATGATATTTACAGCAACATGCATGCGCTGCTGTACAGTACTGTACTTGAATTCACTTACTACACGTATTATTTTATACTATATACATCCTTACGAGGTTTTAACTTCATAATTCTGTATGAATTATTCCTGCAACATGTCTTCGTTTTCTATTGTTGGGGTAGGTCAGCTGGAAACGAACTTTGTCCAAAGAACTCTAAAGTAAAACAGTTATATTTATTAAGCCATCATCGTTAACGTTATCAAAAAGCTAGGAACAAACAGTGTGAATAAAACCTGATCTCATGCAGTAAGTTATATAATTGGTACAATATGCACTGGAGCATTGTCGCATAATCGTATTTTTAAGTTGCTGAAAGAAAACTATTCAACTCAAGCAATGTACTGTCATATTTTGTAAATGTAAAATTGTGTTAAAACCAACTAAAGTTATTTCAACATACAGAAAAGATTTTCGAACTCTTTAAATCTCGAACAAAATTTACAATCGGTCATGAGCTTCCTGCCAGTCTTGCCAGCTCGCCCTCTCATGCACTTATCGCCTTCTCCACAGGAATGCATTGACGGCTTGTGCATAAAGAGATAAAAGCTATGAAAATAAACTGATATATATATATACCTGCACCCACTGCGGGTTTCCTTTTAAACTGCCATCTAGATTGTTGCCAGATTCATCAAGTACAACAGTACCCAATCTCTGGTCCATTGTATAGTGAGCGCGCACGATACGTTTATGTTTTGGCCAGGAGAGTCCAGCTAGTTTAGAATACTCCTTCACTTCGTTATCCTGCTGTTTGACTGGCCAAAATGAAACCTATACATAAACATTAAATTTAATGATATACGCGGTATAATATGGAATCAGGTGAATAAGACCCGTTCTATTTATAACACTTACGTCATCTAACATTCCCTTGAAAAACCCATTCGAGTTTCTTGCTAAATATACGACGGAATTGTTGACCTACATAAAGAACAATAATTTTAAGGCTCAGTTTGTTTGGCATAAATTGACTTTATACAAAGTACGTATGATTCGGTAGTACGTAATTTTTAGCTGGACTATTAACGGTAGACATACCCAGGAAAGAGGTTGGACATTTATTAATCTCGCGTCTTCGGTACCGTTGAGAAAGGTCACAAGCTCATGTCCTTAAAAAATTGAAATATATTCAAAGTTTTACTGGGAAGACACGGCGTTGATGCTGACCAATGAACTGATTCCGCATGTTTTTGGACTATGCGGAGTAGCACATGTTCTACAGTATATAGAGTCTATGACGTGGCTATAGCTATACAGTATTAAAGGAATACCGAATGATTTTCCGTGCAGGATTGCGTGATCCATGCACGAGGGATGTCGCGAGACTTTCGGAAAGCGTAAAAATACTCGAACCGCAGGCGAGTGTATTTTTACCCTTTCCGAAAGTCGATGCTTGGAAAACCATATGGTAATTGGTTTATAAAATAACTACAGTACAGTGAAACAATGACATTTTGAGAATCCCGCGAAAGCATTTTAATTCCTCGTGCAGGATAGCCTGATCCTGCACGGCTATTGACCAATCAAATTGCGTGTTTCACTGTAGTTATTATATAAATGTTATTGAACCTGGTGTTGTACAAGTTAGGTAATGGACGCGTACAACATATTCTTGAATATATGGACTACGGTACAAGTCAGTGGTGAAGCCAGCCCGACAATTTGGTCATGCTATGCAAATTTCTTTAGAAATTGATTGTTTTCACGGTCTATGAACACGGAAATATTTGCATAGCATGACCAAGTTTTCAGGCTGCACTGATCTTAAACTATTAATCTAATGTTGTGCAGCAGGGGTTCTAAGGATAATTTACAACTCCAGTAACTAAAAAACATTCTGCCACTTTGTTGAAGTATTAAGCCTTGAGGAGGAGATCCAGACCTACTGTATTGACCTGCATTATCCCTGAGAATAACTAGCAAGGCTTTTTTGAATTTGGTGTGGTCTTCATCTTACTTATTCTCTAGTTACACTGTGACTCTGTCACAACAACTGTTAGTCTGTTAGTCACTTTTTGATGTGGTGAAGTCAGACAGGTAATAGGTAATATACATTCAGGGCATGGGCTCTTATTGGGTCAATGGTTGGGCAATCAATTGGGTCTTGAAAGAAGGACATTTGTACTAGTTATTATATAAGCTTTAGTGTAAAATAATTTTATATTTCCATATAAACTGATGACATACTTCATAAACTTTTAACATCTTAAGAAATATAAAATATGACCTACGAGTGAGTTTAGCAAAATCTAAGGTCAAATACTTTTCCATTTCGCAGTCACAATTAATATTATTTTACTTCTGGGTTTTATAAAAATAAGTAAAATGTTTTCCCCTGCTGACAGAGAATTAAAGTGACAAAATCTATCAACGTATCAAACTGATAAGAGATAACGACGAATAAAATCACTTCAGACTTCTCAATTTAGTCAATAGACTCAATACCTTCGGCTTTCACTTTCCAGAAAGTTGATAAAGCAATGTAAATATTGATGAAGAACTTTCAAGAAGAACTTCTCAAAACGTCTCTGCTACAATAGATGTCAAGAGTGTAATGGCTTCTGCTATAATACTTCTTGTAAAAATTCAAAGGAAGAGCCTAGTGCAATCAACTTTCCTTGAAAGGCATTGCCCTTAGTATTCCACGAGAAAGGCGAGTTCATCACCTTTTTGTGCTAGCCTTAAGAGATCTAACAACGGTAAGGAAAGAAATTATTTATTGCCTTGTGGAATTTCTAGATCAGATTAAATTTGGTGTTGATCAGAAGATATTGAAAGTGGATAAACTTTTTATTGCTTTAAAGCCTGATGCTGATATCAAGGAATTCATGAATATGTTCAGACCGTTAATAAAATTTTCTCTCAAATTTAACAGCATTGTATTGGTGTAACATCACCAGAGCTGATACGTACATATACTCTCCAAAGCCTACGTTTAGCTCAGATGGGACAGTATTTGGCAAGAAAACGAAACATTTGCCTCAATATTGCATGTCATAGCCCTTGCCGGAATATGGGCAGCAAAACCTCACTCGTGCGATGTTGAAAGGTTAATCAGTGCATGCAATCTTGTAAAAACATCGCTGAGGAATTCTATTGATGTCGAAACACAAAATCTTTATCCGTATGTTCACTTCAATATGCCAACTCATGAAGAATTGGATCGAAGAATATGTGTTGTGAGATGGCTGCAACAAAGGCAACGCAGAAACAAGGAAACTGATAAAGCACGTTATCAACGATGGTTCAAAGGTGTGTTTGAAGAAGCAACTGAGAAGAAAGAACACACAAGCGATGGCATAGTGGATCAACATGTAAAACAAAATAAGAATGCCAAACTGTTTTGAACAAAGCTTGGCTTACGGATAAAAAACATTTATAACTTCTCTAATTTACATTTTTAAACTAGACAACATTACTTTATACGTCAATGAATGTGACTGCTGGAATGTACGTGATATATTTTGTACAACTCCAGTGTTTTTCATTTACAACTCCAGATCTTTTTTTCCAACTCCAAGAAGACCTAGCAAATCCAGCTTAGAATAACCCCTGTTGTGCAGAACTTATTCGCTAGTTAAGGTGGCTCAATACAGTTTTTAAAAAAATGGAAAATTCACGATTTAGACGCGTATTTTTGGACAATTATTACTTGTTGATAAACAAAAAGTACCTTACTTATACAAAACATCATCTAAAGAATTAGAATTTTTTGCACAAAAGTTACACAACTGCCGTTGCTATGGCAACAATGACGTTTCAAGATGGTGGATATTTTGGCTTTAAAGTAATTTAACTCGTAAACGACATCGGTGACCCCCAAATTTTATTATAAAAAATGATTTCTTTTAGAATAATCAATTATTTTGACAATTTAAAAAAAATTCTGTTGAGCAAAAAAAAAATTATTATGAACAATCACCTTTACGTAATTTTAAAAATTTCGGCTCCACAGAATTTTTTTAAAATTGTTAACGTAATTCAATATACTAAGGGAAATCATTTTTTTAAAATAAAATTTGGGGGTCACCGATGTCGTTTACGAGTTAAATTACTTTAAAGCCAAAATATCCGCCACCTTGAAACGTCCTTGTTGCCATAGCAACGGCAGTTGCGTAACTTTTGTATTCAAATTCAAACTCTTTAGATGTTGTTTTATATAAGTAAGGTTCTTTTTGTTTATCAACAAGTAATACTTGTCCAAAAATACGCATCTAACTCGTGAATTTTCCATTTTTTTAAAAAACTGTTTTAAGTCACCTTTTAAAAAATGGTTAGATTGTGCAGAGACAGTACATGGTCTTAAACATGTTCTCATGGTCAGATCAAATCATACAGGACTAGTGTTCTTGAATGTGGACTACCCGGCAAATGATTATATCAAGCAGAGATAGTACATGTTGTGTAACATAAACACATACTTTGAGCATCATATATCAATGTCACGTGATGCCAATTTTCGCCGTCAATGATACCATTGCTAGACACAACAGCCGTTCCCAATCGACCTCGCAGCTTCCTGTTAAAATAATTTCAACTAGGTTTCAACATCAGTAACAAATCATTCAGGGGGACTCATATCACCCTTAAATCAACAACGTATTTATTCTGGTCGAGGGAACAGCAATATTTTTTGGCACTGTGGTTGGTACATGCATGCTTTTTATTCCTGCAATATACTATTTTCTGATTATAATTTCGCTGCAGTCGCATGTGAGAAGAGTGTTTCCTGTTTGACTTGACCACACACTGCACTGACTGCAGGTATTTGAAAACCTCGGTGATACGAAAAACTAGTTTCATGTTTATTCTGACGACGCAGAAAACGAAAAATTGATGCGAGTTCGAATCCCGATGAAAACAATGATTTTTTAATTGTTCTGTATGAAAACTGCAGGTATTCCCAGAGTACTCCAGTTTTGTCCTATGGTAACACGACCTAACACCGCCCCAGCAAAGGATATACCTTACTGGATATGAGGTATAGCAGACGCTTTCAGATGGTTGCAGATGTTTACAGTTTACAGACGGTTGGCATGAGCTGTATGTCATTGGGTAGGTGATGGTGAGTGATTGGGTTGGGGACTGAGTTCCATTGGATAACAGACGGTTACAGGTGGTTACAGGTGGCTAGGATGGTCTAGTGGTTTAAACGTTTGCAGATGGTGCACATGAAGGGTAGTTCGGTTGAGGATTGAGTTCCGTTGGATAGCAGACAGGTATACATGGTTGCAGGCGATTAAACCTTGAGCGAGGACATTTTAGACAGGATTCATAGAGTTATTGATTATTTCAAGATATTTGTCTGCAGGGAAGATGTTTTTAAATATTTACCTGTTTTCTATATAAAGACATATCGTATCATCCGTGGTACACACAACTGGCATTAAAGTGGTAGGGTACGATTGAGCCAGCATAATCCACGCACTGATCGTAAAACTAAAAGACGATTATTGAAACATTTTTAATACACATGAGAACAACAACGCTTTCAATGACAGACAATTTGCAAAATATTGGATCATGAGAATTTGTTTAAGTATGAGGGTATCAGGCTTCACGTTTGAAAATCCTCCCGCCCGAAGTGAGTCATCTGTCAGAGTACCAGTGCAGACACTGCAGTGCTTACATTTATGAACAATGATGATGTGTCGATACAACGATAATTTGATAAACTACTTTAAGCCACTACTAAATATATTGAAGCAGAATTACCTATCAGTAAGTTGCAAGTCTTTAACGGAGGGCAACAAGACATAATCGTCCACGCCATCAAACAACAGTGCATGGTTTTCTCTGAAAGAAAAATGGAGTATTTTCTGAGTAAAGCCAATTACTTTTATCCTATGTTAAGAAACAATCCCTTGGTGTTGTTGAATTCTTATAAGGTTCGCAGTAGCTGTAATATTATAGAGAGGTTCAGATTTGACTTCCACTACTTCTCGCTGGCTTAGTATGTGTCTGATTGGTTAATCGAACATATCAAACGCATCTGATTGGTTAATGGATTCTTAATGGTAGCGGTAATGGGATTCAAATCTGAACCTCATTATTACATAGAACATGACCATCTATCACACTGGATTATTCATACTGAATAATCAGGGCAGAATATCTACGACACTCAGACTGTCAAACCGTCAGTTGAGAAATACCATTGAACTAACTTGGAATAAAATTAATCACTATATATAGCTAGGACGTTTTTAGCGGTTTATAAGGGGAATACCGGCACATGTCACCAATTCCTTACAGTTTACATAAAAATGGCTATGAAAATAAACAAAACTATTGACTCAAACTTCAAAACAACACATTACCGTTCCGCAGTGAACTGTTATTGGACAACAACAAGTATACTTAATATTCATTCGTAAGCCCGGATCTTCATATGTGCTAATAATAGATGACTTTGTTGAATTCACACGTCATAGCAAATAAAGTACAAGTCCTCTCTTCTGTGGTACAAGTCATATACAGGTATCATTAGTACTGATGAAGATCCGGGCTTACAGATCGAAAGTTTTGCAGTACTACGTGGTGTTATGATGTCATCTATGTAAGCATACAAAGAACTATTAATGAATTAATTTCAGTAAAGTGAAAAATACAAAAACATGCTTACCTATCCTGACAATTTGCTTGTAGTCTGGACCAAATAACATCATTCTGTCCATATACAATTACTCCTAATCGTCCCCCAGTGATCGTGGTGTCATAAATATCCCCAGAATCCGCGAGAACAGAATCTCCTTCTTTAACAATCAGCCTGCAATGCAGGTGGAATAAAACTGGCTTGGAAAAGTTCGTAAAAAGCACATGGACACAAGGTCTTGTCTTACTTTCGCATTATTAAGATGCATCAACATGGGTAATTTCCCAGTATTTGGATTTTAAATCTGAAATATTACTTTGAAAAAAAAAACTCAAAAGAAAAATTCCTGGCTTGATCTAATCCTTCTAAAACGTTATAGAAGTGAAAACTTTATTCAGTCATCAGAGAAGCGGATTGCACATCTGTCATCGTGGATTAAATCTCGTTAAATTTGTAAAACGCCAACCTCTACAAAATATTTTGCGTTTTCTTCGGTTTTTCTAGAGCCTCAAGATGTCTTTGCACAGGATAAATTGCAAGTTGAGCTAAGGACAAATCGATTAATTGACATGTAGTAATAACATGATTGTTGTAAGAAATAGTCCAGGCTAAAGGTGCATGCAGTAAAGCATAATATATTCTGGCTCCGTTCACACGAATTAGTCCACATTAAATGTTGATAATTTCCCGCCACGTGGCTTGAAACATTTGTTGTGGGTGATTAAGTTACTGAAATGTCCATGTTTTTGCATGACAATTTTTTTTCAGCACGCTGGTGAGACTCCAGATTTCAAATTTTCTGGGGATCTACCCCCTCACCCCCCCCCCCAAAAAAAAGAAAGTCTTCCGTTTACTATGATGTCCCAATTCGAAGACAGCTAACCGCACAAATCCCGTGTGTACAAATAGAATCGGAAGAATTTGTGCACTGTTCTGAATTTGTTCGGTTCCGTGTGAACGTAGCCTCGATGTAATCAGTCATAAATAAGATGAACACTTGTTGATTTGTCTTTGCAACTGTACCTTATTTTTCCAACAGAAGGTCGATACTTCAGGTAAAACCTGTAAGCAGTCTTGTGTTCCCATCCTTGCATGAGAGGATCATGCCACAGTAAAGACACCTAGAGTGTAGACATGAAAGAAGAATTATAACAATTGTGTGGTGTAGAATTATTGCGCCAATTGAAAAACTATTTATCGCACTCGTGGTCTTACCTGGTTTGAGGTGTCTCCTGAATGCCAGAGAGCATGGGCAAGATTATTACTAGGACCAGTATTACTGTTTATGAGCTAAGAAGTGAAAATTATAACTGTTGTATTAATTTTAATGTTATACTTCTCAAACTCATTAATAATTCATGAAGAAAATTCAAAAGAAATAAATATTTAATCATTATTTAATGTTTATAAATCGAAGAAAGATTACAGCCAACTTTAATCTGGATTTCCTCTTAAAATACGGGTTTGTTTGAGAAGTAAGTTCAAACACTCGTAAGTGTTCTTCTTATGATTTCTAAATACAGACAAGCTGGTTAAAAAAACTCGGCTTCGCCTCGTATTTTCAACCTGCTTGTTTGTATTTAGAAATCAGAGGAAGAACACTTACTCGTATTTGAACTATTACTTCAAATACTTTTGATATTCTGAGTTTCTCTCCCGTTTCTGTTTCCTCCATCCTTTGATTCTCCTAATGTTCCTATCTTTCGTTCCTTATCCTACCTATTGTTACTCTTCTTACTTCCCTTCATATGACGTATGAATGCATGTAGACTTATTTAAGGACGCCACTCCACTGCCGGAGCACCGCTGCCAGGAAATTTCATCTCAAACTGCAATTCCAAAAGCGTTTTGCAAGTCGAGAATGTCACAATGTTTTATATTTGATTTACACAGGAAATTTTTATATTTGGGTTTTGTTGCCGGGAAGAGAAATATATTTTCTTGGATGCTTAGCCTCATCGCTTTTGGCTACATAAACTTCTATGACATTACATTTAAAGCGAGCAAACCTACCTTCAATTGAAGGCCTTTAATACCAGCTTGATACGTGTTTTGGTCAAGATTCAGATTCTTATGCCGCCACATGACCGAGTAAAACTTTCTATTGGACTGGTAACCAAATACAAAACCAATATAGTTCAAACCTTCATCAGTATTTACAAATATTGTGCCAGAGAAATCTACTGGGCCATACCGTTGATTGCCTGTACACAAATTAAGAAAGGAAATAGTTACCATATGCATGTTACAGTTTATGGGCACCTTCGATCTGGTGTGCATGGCTCCCTGGCTGGCTGGTGTTGGTTCGTGATATAATTCTAAAGCCCATTAAAAAAGTCCAAAATTTTGTACCAGTATCATCCAACATTGTAGAATGCAATATTGTTTGGTCTGTTTGAACCACAGATTAAGTATACACCAGATGTGTAACTTCAAAGGATTTCGTGTCCTCAAATTTGTATAAGTATTATCAAATAACGAATTATCACGCAAGCACACTTGCTAGAAAGATAGCAATTTTTTCCTGAAGTTACACATCTGGTCACACTTAATCTGTGGTTTGAACACTATATTTGGTAATGTTGGTAGATGTTGCATCAGATTTGCCTTTATCTCATGAGTCAATATTTTCGTCAACGCTGAACAATGTTTGAATGGTTTGGACGGGCATTAACAACAAATTAAAACATCGACCATTTATAGCGTTAAAGATTTCAATAACAATTTATTAATCACGCTAAGTCCAGGAAAAAGTCCTGCGTCCCACATGGGGCTTGAAACAATGAAAAAATATTTAAGGTAATAATCAAAGAAACAATGGAAGAAGTGGAAGAAACATTTTGTAAGGTTTTGAAAGATTTTGATCCATTTTTCCAACCCCTACCCCCAGGAATTTTAGAGATTTTACACGGAAAATTTTCTTTTTAAGTCGGGCAAAATCACAGGAGGCCCAGGCTCGATTTACCCGCGCCCGCCTGTGCCTTCCTTATAACGAGGGAAGGAAGGAAACATTGAGACCAAAATAGCCCAGACTTGGCATATGTCACACGAAACTATCTTCGATTTTTCGCCTTTAATGCATTTCTTTCACGATTAATCGATATCCCCTGCAAGAATGATACCGTATAACTCTCAAAACAACGATACTTTAATCAAAGAGCTTAAATTCGCTCTGAAATCCGTGAGGGAATAACAAAATTCGGCCAAAATATATCCGCGTGCCGGGTTTGCTGGACAAAAAGCGGAAGTCGTTGAACAACTCAAAATACACTCAATCCTGATTGGACAACGAAAATCAACAAACATTTCAAATTTTCAGTAGTCAGTAATTAATATAAATTTGAATCAAAACAATTAACAAATGTTGTCGGGGAAAACCATTGCAAATCTAATTATTTAAATTTAAGAAGTTTAGTCAGTAAATACGGATAGTAATTTACCCTATTTGACAAGATGTTTCAGCGTAAAATTATAGTTATATTTGCAGTTATATTTACAGTAACATATATAATCGACTTGTAGTAGACTTCATAACGTTTGTGAATTGTTTTGATTCAAATAATGAAATTATTACAGTATACTGTTCCAAGTACTATCCCAACTCCCAGTGGAGAAAAATTTGAACTGTTTGTTGATTTTCGTTGTCCAATCAGGGTTGAGTGTATTTTGAGTTGTTCAACGACTTCCGCTTTTTGTCCAGCAAACCCGGCACGCGGATATATTTTGGCCGAATTTTGTTATTCCCTCACGGATTTCAGAGCGAATTTAAGCTCTTTTATTAAAGCATCGTTGTTTTGAGAGTTATACGGTACCATTCTTGCAGGGGATATCGATTAACCGTGAAAGAAATGCATTAAAGGCGAAAAATCGAGGATAGTTTCGTGTGACATATGCCAAGTCTGGGCTATTTTGGTCTCAATGTTTCCTTCCTTCCCTCGTTATAAGGAAGGCACAGGCGGGCGCGGGTAAATCGAGCCTGGGCCTCCTGTGGCAAAATGCGAAAAAGTCGGGCAAATTTCTTGCCGACCCCCCCCCCAATTTTTTCCCTCCCATACGCCTATGATGAAGATATACCAATCAACATGGACGGGTTGCTCCTATTGGATGTATGCTGAATATCTCGGCCCTAAAATTAAAAATATTGAATATAAGTTCTTCGTTGGCCTGCATGAAAATAGATATTATATAGTGTGTCAATAATGATTTAATATGGAACATAGTTTTGTATGAGCCTAATTTTTGTATGGGCCTAATTTTTGTATGGGCCAAACAATAAGTTAAATTGTACTGTCATCAGGTGTCCAAAGGTTAACGTATGATATTAACAGTGGGTACTATGTTTTGCCAAGTGGTTTTACCTTACGAAATTATTACCTCATTTGAAATTTTCCACACATCATTATCAGTAGACTGTCTATCAAGCCACACAATAAAGTGATGAAGGAATGATGTTTTGTGAATATTGTCTACATGTGGACATGAATCTTGATTGTCTGGGAAACCATCTCCATCAAAATCTTTGTTACATAAATCACCAACTTCAGCACCTGAACGATTTTGAAAATAGATTTCAAAACAAATTAAAGCTCCAGTTTAGTGTATTTAACATTTACCTACCAATGGCATCAAATGTGAGATTAAGGTGGCTCTGATCAGGATTCTGTACCAAAGGACAATTATCTTCAGTGTCTGGTACACCATCATTATCACTGTCGTCATCACATGCGTCACCTAGGCAACGAAAGTTACAATGCTGTTCTTAGTTTTATCTCCTTAAAATATTTTCAATTCTGGATTAAACATGTGGCATGGTCGCATGCGGCATGTTAACTTTGACTGCTTGACAAAACACAACAAGAGAGACTTGAGTTTACATGAGATCCTCCGACTTTCATTTCTTGATGATACAGAAACAAGAGCTTCAAGAGAGTGGTTAAGTGAGAAATTACACGAGAATTTTCTATATAATTTTTGCCTGATAAAACAAGAAGAAGAAACAAGTCACGAGAGGTGACAGATGCGAGTTAAAACGTTTTCTTAATTCTCATATTTTGAGCAAACGAGAACAAGAGAAATATGAGAGTTGATGGGTGAGAGTTTACATAATTGATAATCGAATGTTTCCTCAACTCTCATGACAAGAGTTGCTTTAAATCAATTTTCATCATCTTTTTAACATTTACCCACCAGAAGCGTCGTCATCCTTATTTGCTTGCTCAGCATTTGGAAGGTTAACACAATTATCGTAGTCATTGAAAACACTATCACCGTCTCTATAGAAGAATGCAAAAACTATGAATATACCTACACAGCAAAACCGTTAATTGTCTTAATTGCAACGTCACACGTCCAGCCCGAAAACTTATCCACAAAGATTGCGTTAGGAATTCCTCGGCCTTCATAGTATAGCATAAAAACCACGGTAAATCAAGAAATACAAATTTTGATGACCTTTTCTTCTTTTTGTATTCATGGGCACACGTTAGCGAGGGCAGCGTGAAATGTGGTTTGAAACTTAGCTAACCATAAGAAATTGGTTTTGGCATAAGAAATTGGTTTTTGCATGTCACATCAACCAATTAAATACAATCGAAATTTCAATGAATCTTTACACCCTCTAATAATCATAATCTTAACCCCACCCTAATCCTAGGCCCTAATCATAACATCCTCACCCTAATTCGTGTGGCAATTTTTCTTCCTAAATACGGTCTACTGTTTTTATTTCTTTCGGCTCAAATTGGCTTCGCTGGTCAAAAGCAAAATAATATGTCAATATTACACAGTTTTATGACATCATTGCCCATGATTAAAATACCTATCATTCCCAGCAATCGCAGGGTCATCACAAACATCTCCATAGCCGTTCTGATTACTGTCATTCTGAAAAGGAAACATGAATAAATATAAACTGTCGCATTTGCAAGTCATAAATAGCAAGAAGCTCAATGTCTTAGTTGCCACAAAAACTGCTCATGGGTTGCTGGTGGCACTTTGTTTGCGCATGTGTCTTTCGCCTGTGAGGGGTGGGGTTGTGTTCTTTCCGTTTTATACTGTACGCCAATCTGCCTCTCTCCTCCGTAGAGGTTTAAAGCTCCGTGGAAGGGAGAACTCCTGTGCAGGCAACTCTGTGCTATGGCAGTGAAATTTGAAGCAATACTTGTCAGAGAAGGTCATGAAATCAGGAGTGGAAAGGAAAGAAAAAAAGGGTGGCAGCATGGAAACAACCACTTATCCCCTCTCTCCTCCGCAAAGGCTTCTGTTGGCTATGATTACGATTAGTATTGAGACACATTTCACTACACTTTACATGGCGGGTCTTGGAACACGAGCGGAGCCGCTGAACGAAGGAGCGCAGGCGGGAGAGGGCATAAGTGTGAGGGATAAGTTTCTCTCCTCTGCGGAGGAGAGAAACTTATCCCTCACAATCCTCTGTTACCAAAAACTTGCTCTGTCAAATCAGTTTGCATAATTTTCACGTACGTCACAGAATTATTATAATACTGAGGCAACGTTTCTTACTTTCTGGTTATAATTTAAACGCACTAGCAAGGAAGAAGCCTTGCTTCTATTTTAACGTTGCCAATTAAACGGCGCATTTTTCTGCTGGTACTCCCGTTTTCTGTTAGAGTAAAACCTGTATGGATGGTTTTAATGAAGATCTAAGGAGAACAGTTTAGAACTGATAGAAGAAAATATGAACAGTTTCAGCAATATAATTACTGTTCCATGTTTCTGTGTTGTTTATAGAAATTTGTGCATTGTCGTGATCGTGAAAGTACGTTTGAAAGTGAACCTATCGTTTTGCTGTATACTGAAGAGATCATTCAGTATATCAGAGGTATGTTTCAATATTAATAATACAAGAGCAAATGATTTGTGACTTCCAGATCTTCTCAACGTCAGTTAGGAGTAGAATTGTAAAACCATCTGAAGTTCACATGCAGCCTTCCAAACTATGCTCATTTTTACCATGTGCTACCAGGCATAAATAAAGCTTACTATGAGGGTGAAATTTCGTTGATACCTGGTTTCCATTAGGACGATTTGGACAATTATCACACTTATCACCAACACGATCACCATCGACGTCTCTTTGATCAGTGGTATTTAGTTTTGGACATGTGTCATTTGCATTGAGTAGACCTACAATATATTTGGAATGAGTATGCGTGTTGTTATATTCCCGCTGCCTCGTCCCCAGTCGCTTGCTATCAAATAATTAGGAAAAGACGAAAATTAATGGGGCGCGCGGAATCGTCCTTAGTTGCGGGCGTGTGCCTAAAGGCGTGCGTCTTTATCGGTCTTGCAGTGCACGCGCTGATCTATATATTACCGATATTTAAATTTGATCTATATAGAGGAGCCTGCGGAGGAGGCAGATATTCCCGAGTTCCTCTGTGCTGGCGTTTTGTTATGCAGTAGTTATATCACGTTACGATACTTATGTTGTTCTTGTTGTCGTTATCATTGTAGTTTTTATTGTTGCTGCGGTTTTTGTTGTTCTTATTGCTAACTCGAAAATTTCACATAGCTATGATTTTACATGTGAAAACAATTTTTCAGTTTATAAGTGTTCCAATTCCACATAAGAAATAATAATTTCACATGTGAAAGTAATTTTCACAGATAATCCTTTTTCTTTCACAATCATTCGAAAATTCTAAATTTCACATACGAAATGACTATTCTCACATGTGAAATGTTATGTGAATTCCCTGTCAAAGAATGTTGCTATGGTTGCTTTTCGTATTGTTATTATCGCTGCTATTATTCATTTTGTAGCTGCAGTTGTTGCTGTTTTTGTTGTTACTCCTGTTTTGCTGTAGTTGTTTTTGTTACTATTGTTGCTGATGTTGTCAGCCTCGTACCCAGGCGTAATGTGGCCGCTATGGCTTGCGTGGTCTTTTTGCGTGTGCCGCGCGGATAATTTGAATGATTTCGTGTATTTTCCATTTTCTCCCACGCGTGTCGTCCCGCGTGCGTGTCGCGCGACGGCGTAGCACAACAAAGCGTCTGAGAACAAGGCAGTGATGTTGTTATTACTGCTGTGTTTCCATTATCGTTTTTGTACGTTGTTATTGGACAGTGCATCATATCCTTGTCCCATCTTCAATGCCTAACAACCCATTTTCGTAAGAAATCATAATTCCTCACCATCTCCGTCTATGTCGTCATCACATTCATCCCCAGTCCCATCTCCGTCAAGATCCTGCTGAGCACTATTTGATGTAGTATTGCAGTTATCGCAAGCATCACCAACACGGTCACTGTCACTGTCTTTCTGGTCATCATTTCGAACAAAAGGACAATTATCCTGTGGAAAATCAAATATAATCATATTTCGATGGTTGTACATTGACGAGAACCAGTGATGGTGGAATTGTTTGAATGTTGGGATGAATAGTAAAACCACAACAGGTCGGACATGCTAGCGGAAGTCTACGGTCATATATATATCTACTATAAATTGAGTGCTTAGAATGTTAAAAAATCTAATTGATATTAAAGGTTGTTTAGTTCATGCTGACATGCTTCTCAATAACAATGCATTTTCTGCTAAATTGTTCATCAATGTGAATGTTTCATCTCTCAATACATTTACAGTAAAGGTAACCCCCCTCTCCAACATAGAAATTACAATTTGTACTTACAACTACATCCGGGATATTATCATTGTCGTCATCAGTATCACAATCATCACCATCACTATCATCATCATTGTCACCTTGACCTTCGTTTGGAACATAAGGACAGTTGTCCTGAAGAAAACATACATGTTATAAGGATCATTCCTACTCAAGAAAATTTTCCACAGAAAGAAAACTTTGTAAAATGTGATTGACAGACACAAATTTTCCGTCCGAAAAAATTTGGAAGTTGAAAATTAACAACTTTTAACAGTGATATTTTCGGAAAATTCTCTGTCCATGGAAATGGGCCTCAGTTGAACAACACATGATACAATAAATGCAACTGCGTAATATTTCATCAATGAGATCAAAAAGCTTTTTAAGTGATTTCTGAAATTCAATAATGATTTATGAGGAAAGCACAATGAAAATCAGCTACGTATCCAGTGGCGTGAGAAGGTATTTAGAGGAAGTTAGAGAGGCTGGCTGAAATCTAGGGTGGTACAGGGGCATGCATGTTTTCCTGGCCATATTGTAAAAAATGAAGCTCGGAAATGCCATTTTCTGCACTTTCTGCCGCCGAATTGAAGAACGTGGACAACAAAAATGTTTCCAAAAAATTGGTTCATAATCGGTTTTGGTGGTTTGGATGACTTGTGGAGGATATAGTCACCATCAAATTAAGCATGGTTCAACTATTTGGCGAATTGGTAGATGGCGAGTTTTTTAAACAAGACTTATCACAAATAATGAAGTCATCTTTTCTCAAATACTTATATCTATATACATATAACAACGGAAATATATATGTAATCTATTTAGGCTGTGAAAATGTTACGGGGACGCCAGCGGCAGTGGTTCCAACGCCAATGATTGTATCGTTGTCGTACGCTATCACTTGAGATGTCAGTACATCATACACTCGAAGTTGGCTATTACTAAAACCATGGATAATAAAATAAAAGGATAGGAAACTAGCTGACGTAGTGACGTGACCTAATGTTTTCAATGGATGATGGCGTGGTAAGGTTAGATGTTGAAACCTAGTTGCAAACCAAATTCTCAAAAACGGCATGTTTAGCAATAATACAGCTAAACATTTTAGTCAAAGAGCAAATAAATATAACTACGCCATTCTACGATGAAATCTCTAAGTATTTCCAGTCAATTTTAGTAAATATTTCAAGCACTAAACAGTGAAAAATGCACATTCCAAATTTCGTTAAAATTGGTGACGCCAATTTCGTAGCTACAAATGTAAAAAAATACAAAACAAAGACGAAAAACATTTACCTTGAATACTTTCGTGGCTTAGGCACGTTTTTAAAACAATTAGACCAGTTTATGCTTCAATATTACTCTTTTAAAGCGGAAATATAGCGAAACAACAAAAATGCCGAGAACTTTGGAAATACGCGTGACGTCACAGATTGCAACTACAATCATAGACAAATTTACTCGGACAAACATGGCAAATATTTTTTTTTTGAAACATTTTCATATATACTTCGTAAAGTCGGTCCCCCCTCCCCTGAAACAATGTTGATGAACACTTCAGTCATTATGGCAACTATTGCAGTATCTGTAGCAACAACATTGTAACGGGGGAGCGGGGAATACGGCTGAATATGCGTATAATTATTCAGTGACCGGGAGCGGGGAATACGGCCGAATATGCATATAATTATTCGATTCCTTTAAATTTCAGCCATTTTTAATCAGCGTCCGCATGTTATTTGTCTAGGATTGTAGGTATAGACTGTGACGTCAGCTAATGTCCTATCCATTTATTTTATTATCCATGCTAAAACCAACATCGCGAACTCCTATGTTTCGCTGTCGTAACTGCCTAGTAAATTCATAATTATTAGTTGCCTGAGGACAAAAAATTCCTTCTTCGTTGACAAGGGAAATTTGCTCAGACAAATTTATAGTTTGGCATATAATCCAAATTCTATATCAACTGAACTACAGTATTAGACAGTGGAATTTTTATCAGTTGATAAAGAATACTGGGCCCTGCTTGGAGAAGCTACTGTATATATATCGCTAATATAGGTGCTGTGGACAAATTTTCAAGAGATGGCGCTCACCCTTTTACAATGCGGATCAATACAACTTAAGCCTTTATCAGGTATCCCGTCTAAATCAGTATCTGGTCCGCACTCTTCATAACCATTACCTCCAAAACCAACTTTACACTAGAAAAATAAAAAAATGAATAAAAATTAGGCACCGTAAATACATTGTGCGAGAGGCTGCAATAAATTAAAGCTCACAAGACTTCTAATGAGATAAGGCATGTTAAGTGGTACAATGCATGGTCAGTGCACTGGCCATTTCGACCGGGATTAAAATCCTGTCAGAAAACCTGTGGTGTTTCGTAACGTCCAAGGACACTCTTCTTTCACCTGCGACTGAAGTGAAATTAAAATCACACAACTGCACAACAAGCGAAGTTGCAGGAAGAAAAGCATTAATACATTTTCTCTCCAAACCAGTCCTAAATAAAATGTTCCTTGATATCCTAAGCATTTTTCGTTCATTATAGGTATGCGAGGACATTATCCGTGGAAATGCAATTATAGGGGACACTATCCGCTAGGAAATAGTGTCCGGGGAGACACTATCCGCTACGAAGTAGTGTCCGGGGAGACACTATCCGGTGTGATTGAAAGGACCCTATTAAGCCTCGCACAGAAAAGCAGTTCTTCATTATTGCTCGTGTTCAAGACGAAAACGAGACGGAGACAAGTCCTCTTATCTCCACACCAGCTAGCCTATGTTCTGGTCCAAAATAGCATGCACCTAATATCTAACTCAGTTCTTGGAATATTGGTGACACAACGCCTATATAGCGCATATGCACTTCACGTTTACGACTTGGGCTCGGTTCCTTCAATGTGCTGTTGTGTAATTGTAATTTCGATTTTCGCCACACATGAAAACAGTACAAACAACACTGGACCAAATGACCTTTATTAAAACTGACGTAGTTACCCCTGTCTAAATTAAGTTTAGTTTACCTCACACGTGTAGCGCCCAGATCCCTGCGAAGTGCAAGTTGCGTTGCTATGACAATCACTGACTCCTGCATCACAGAAGTCTCCTGGGATACACCCACTGTATCCATTGCCAATATAACCGGCGTTGCAAGCACCGCACTTGTAGCTGCCCTAAAAACGAGAAAACGTTATCTCTTAGACAGCATAATTCTCATTGAGATTACAAACTGAGTATCTCAAGACTGGCCCTTTTCAGTAGAACTGCGTTAATACGGTCAAGCATGCATGCGCCAAAAAAATTGGTCGTGTTAACGGGTGACCGTAATTTTCAGTGTCTTTGTAAGAAAATGTACTGTTTTGTCCTTTTCGCGGCGACCGCAGATAGAGTAGGCAAAAATAAGCGACCATTATGAAGAGGCGACCGCAAGGCGGGGTTACAATGTTAAGGGTTCAATTCCCGTCATTGGTCCGACAATTGAATTTTTCCTGAATGCCGGCGACGCCATATTTAAATCGTAGTCGTAGATCATTGTATATCCAGTGCCATCGAACGTTTACAATCGAATTATTAAAACAAAGCCAAAGGAATGTTTTTGGGGTTAAAAATAGCAACTAAAGCAAACAGGAACTTGGAACTATAAAAAAAGGTAGGTCACCGTGGTTATTTGTCCGCTAAGACGGCTTTTTTGGTTGATATAGGCCATATAGATGGTGACGTCATGTTGTCATGGCAACATGAAGAGTAGCGATTGTGGGTTAAAATTACTTTTTTATATAAAAGCAAACAATGGCTTGTGCAAAAAATTAGTTTTTTTAGATTCAAATAGCTTTTAGTTTAAAACACTGATATATATTGGAAACCGTATGGAGCCTCCTTAAGGCAATTTCCGACAATGGCTTGACCACGATGGTTAGAACCAAATAGAAAGCAGGCTTTAAGATGGTACGGTAATAAAAGAAGATGATATAAACAGTAACTTACAATCGTATTAATGCACTTCGCATTCCCATCACACAAGTGACCTCCTTCTAAACATTCATCTATATCTTCACAAGACTGTTTCGAGTTCGTCGCTTGCTCGAGACCAATCCCCGAAGGAGCACTTCCCCGGTGACCTGCTGGACATCCACCACAACGATAGCCAGGTATAAGATTGGTGCAGCTTGAGTTGCATGGTGATGCACGAGTACACTAATTCAATCAATCAATCATTCCATCAATCAATCAACTTTATATGTATATAAATTAAGCCATGTTTTCGCTCGCTACTCTGATTGAAGGAAATGAATGCAAATATTATACAAAGGGCCGCGTTGCGACTTTATATTATACACGTGTAGCGAGGTTCGAGACTATATCCCTCTGGAAAACCTTTGAATGTTGGGTCTCTTAAACAGTAGCAAAGTTCTACAGTTCTTCATGTCAGCATCTACATAGGGTACTAACGTTTATTGAGATATTTAGGGAAATCATTGAGAATAATTTTCCTTTCCCCCCAGAATTTTGGGCGTCCAACAGCGTCCATTTTTCGTTGTATGACGTTCCAGGACGCCCGGATGAACCAAGCTTCAGCTACTCCAGCTATGCGAAATTTTAAGCACCCTCGAAGGCTCGGTACTATGCAAACGTTTGAATTAAAATATTTTCACGTGAAAATCTATTGTAGTTTCACATTCTTGTTATAGTTGTATACATGTTGCATATCCAGGGATCTCAATCTTAAAATCCCGTTTCTTGATTATTTTCTCGAAAATAATAACTTGATGACTCGACGCTAATCCCGTAGCTCAAAAGCCTGGCACAAAACACAGGCTCAACTGAGGATCTAAGTATACATCACAACTGAGTCTGAGTTACCTGTGAAAAACATTTGCATATTTACCAACCTCGTTAATATCAACACAATCGGTCCCATTCCATTCATAACCCGCTGGACAATCTCCACATTGAAAATTTCCATAGTCCAAATTACGACATGCTACTCCAGGAAAACACGGCGAGGGCACAGCAAGACATGGACCTAAAGAGAACATCTACATTACCACTTTCCGTGTTTTGAATTTTTTGTTTGCAATCACGTGACATTTCATCCAAATGACGGGCAATCAAACAACTGGTGGACGATTTTTCTCCTATCAGAATGGTTGTAGCAAGAAAAACTGAACGGTAATTCATCTTTTGAGTCTTAACAGACTCAAAAGTAAAAGTAAAAAAAAAAAAAAATTTTTGCCGTTTTTTGTTATACCTGCCATACTATACCAGAATGGTGAAACATATTGCCTTGTATTAAGTATTCTATGAATTAAACCTAATTTAAGGTAAATTAAGACTTTGCCATCGAAAAAAGTTCTATTCAAGCCCAGGTAATTATCCCGGCTTGAAATGCGTTCCATGCTGCATGAAAATATTTATATTATTTTTTATAATTATATAAAATTTTATCTCGATTGTTCTAGTTCCAGTACTGAAGTCAAAACTTTACTGTATTGTGCTTTACCAAGTACTGCAACGGTACACACGTATTATCTCTAACTTACATTGACTGGGAGTGACGCATGTCTTACATAGACCACAGAATGGAAAACTTCCTTCTTCTGCCCACTCACGCACGTGACACGCACGACATCCATTCTTTCGGTACGTACTCGTGTATCCCACGGGACAACAGGTGCATGTCGTAGCACGCGTGATATTGTTGTAACTACCAGGAGGACATAACTGACAAGGAAAACCTAGAAATACAAGTTAGAAGAAAGTCAGAACCAAATTGCTTACGCATGGGTCTTGTTAGATGGTGTGACAGCAGTGACACTATACAACTGTAATATATGTATTAACCAAACGTTTTGAGCTACGTATCTATTGTGGTTGATCTTATGCAGGCCTGAACTTCAAACGGTTATTCTATAATGGTTCAGAAATGCTCCCTCCAAACGGTTGATTCTTAGAACAGCGAGAGTTCATGAAATACACGTCCATCATGGTAAGTTCTCGTAACTGTAGATTTCAAACGGTTGGTTCTCAGAATAGGAAGAGTTCGTGAAATACACGTCCTTTATAGTACGTTCTCGTAGCCCTAAACGTCAAGTGGTTGGTTCTCAGAACAGGTAGAGTTTTTGAAATACACGTCCTTTATGGTAAGTTCTCGTGACATTAAACTTGGTTCAAAGCGTAGGTAGCAGTCTGGCAATACACATCTATTATAGGGTAGAATAATGACTATAGCCTAATTTGTAAGCCGTTGGTTTTTAGCGTAGATTAGCGTAAGTGACGTCAGAACTTCATCACTGCCATTATTGGTCCAGTGTTATTAAAGTGAGAATCTGGAGCTCCGAGAGTCGGAAAAACCCTGAAATTTTGGACGTATATGAGACGGTAGACTTGCTATACAAGTCCACTCATATTATTTAGCTGAGAGTTTGAGCTCAAATTTCTTGCTCATGCTTGTTTTATTCGCTCACGCGTTCTCACTCGTTTTCCTCCTTACAACATGAGACAAGTTAATGCTTTATGGTGCGAGTCGACTTGTAGCAATTAGTCTAATGAGACTGAGATGAAACTGATTTTAACCATATAAATGCGTACTCCACGTGTACTGAACCGACATTGAACGAAAATGTACTAAAATTGTACTAGCAACACCCACTAAACCTTACCAGTGCCATTACTATACGTTCCAGGAAGGCAGTCGGTTTGTTTGCCATTGAAACACACAGTACCAGGTTCACAAGCATTGCACTTCTCTGGACAAAACTAAAAAATAAAATAATGCACAAGATATCTTAAGGCATTAAGTCACATGGGAGACACTTAAAAGACAAAGAGAGAAAAGGGAATTTGAGACAAAATACTTACGCTTTCATTACACGCAACCCAAGTGTCAGCTGGACATGGTAAAGCCGTCCCATTGTGACATAACTATAGAATTATATGTGAGTATATGTTATATGTGAGTATATGTTTAATTATTTGTGAGTATATATTATTAATGTACAACATATACAATGAATAAATTTGACCATTCACCCCAGAACGACTCGTTTGGACGTTTTGGCCTATAAAACTAAACGGACTATTTCTGTGAGTTCTAAATCAGATCTAATTCCGGTGTTATTCTAGAAGTACTACTCGAAGAAAGCTTGCGGTATTTGGCAGAGTCAAACTGGAAGCAGTCTTCGCACATGCCATGGCCATGGGCAGCCCAACAAATATGTGTATTCACTTAAAATGCATGAAACGCTAAAAAATACGTATAAAATTCGTCTGAATTTGCTATCAAGCGAATTTTGTGTGGCTCATTATATATGCAGATTCCGCTGTTTACGTCACTGTATTTTCATATACTGTAGTATAACACACTATATGAAAATACAATCGCAAGAAATCGCTTGATAGCAAATTCAGACGAACTTTATACGTATTTTTTAGCGTTTAATGCATTTTTAAGCGAATGCACATATTTGCTGGGCTGCCTATGCACATGCGCTTGAGGCGAAATTATAATCAGATAAATGCAAAAATCAAGGAACGCTAATCTACTCAGGATTTAACTTACCCAGCCTTCAGGACATTTATCACATTCGTTTGCGCCAGCAAATGAATATTCCGTAGGCGAAGATTTCCCACAAGGCAATTCAGTTCCGTCACCAACACAGTAGTGGCCCGTACGACAACGCCGGCACATTGGCCTCTGCGTGGAGTTCCGAGCTTATAGGAAATAGATACATTCTGTTATTTGAAAAGTTTAGTAGACCAAAGACTGGTTAGTACGCAGTGTTCATACGACAAAGTCTCATGAACCAAAATTAGTCTGAAATAACCGAATAACATTTTAATGTGTAGTTTTTTCTTAACTTGCTTCTTTCGTAAAATTGGTGTTAAAGGACATTGGAATTAAAATTGGCTCATTTTAATACTTGAAAGAAAGTTTAATATTGTGTATCAAATTTTGTCGCAGATTTTTCACATCAAGCTTAACTATTAGAAGTAATTAGAATATTTGGACTGATAGCAATGAACTTTCCGTCATCTTGGATTAATTCTTAACTTCATTAACTATGGTTTTGATGACGTCAAGAGTGGCCTTATAAAATAGTTAAGATCAAAGGTGGTTTTAAATGTTTCTATTGAATTCGAATTTTGAAATATCAACCAAAGCGTTTTGGGCTCATATTGCCCACAGGAAAAACTTGTGTGACTGCACTTGTGACGTAATTTGCATATTCTGAATAATCCATGATGGAGGACAATTCACTGTTTTCAGTCAAAATATTTGAAAAATCAAGCAAGATATATGAAAAAGCTATAAAATGTCAAAAAAGCTGTAAAACGTCTATTAATTAATTCCAAAGCTCTTTTAAGTAAGACAAACTATATTGTTACTTCAAATGTCATTTAAACAAAGATACTGCATAAGTAAGATTTTATTAATGATATTGAGTATCTCGAGAAGGAACAACACACACACAAACTCGTGTAAAAATGCTGCCGGTAATTTTTGTGTTCTGTAACGCACAGTCATAAAAACCTAAACAGACGGTTGTAAACAGACGATACACTATTAATACGATATACTTACGATATTCAGACCCAGTAAGTGTTGGAGCACGTAGGAACACTTCCCCGGTGATATTATTGATAACAAAGTTTGCATGACTAGTACATGTAGCATTGACGGTAACATTGACCGGAATAAAGTCCCCACGTCTCGGGTTCCCGTTATCTACGGCATAAATCCTGTATGTCCACCTGGTTTCAATAGTCTTGTTAACCCAAACAACTTCAGTAAAATTGTTTGTATAGTACCGAGTACGGCTCACCTCATCTCTACAAAACATACAAAGAAAGACGTCACAAATGTGTACGGTAACGACTTAAAATTTTTTAACAACTTTCAAAGGGTCTGTATACAGACGAACCTTTAAATATAGACCAAAAGATAATCACCATTGCAGTTTACACTTTCTCTTTTCACTCTCACGAATTACTTCACGATACGATATTGCAGGGTTTATTTTAACGTGCAGTTCTACACAAAATGTGCAGTTCTAAACCCATTTGTGCAGTTCTTAAAACACAAATGTGCAGTCACCAAGCTAACAAAAATAGCCTTAATTAAAACAGTCTTCTCATTTACTCGTTACCCTTGTGGATGCTCCAGAAAATTCCAGAAATGCTGTCATTAATTGAGCATCAAAAATATAAACGTTTTCTGGGGGAGGACTCCAGACCCTCCTATTTTCCTCACAAAATGTGCTGGGGTAATGGAAAAGAAGCTAAAATTGGGGCGAGCGAATCTCCCCAAAAGAGTTTAGAGTGGGAGAACCTAATATTCTTTGCTGCCTAAAATGCAAATTTAAGGTTGTTATATATTGAGTATCCATGATTCTCAGTTATACATGTTTTGAAACAGTTTTTGTGAGGGTTGGGTAAAACAAATCTTTGCCAGAACATAAGAGCCTCTAGATTCAAATTATTTTGGGGAACACCCCCTAGCTCCCGCACCCAAAATCGAGTTTGTCTGCCCTTTCTCCAATTGTCCCACCCAACCACACCATTATTCTATCACCTGTATGCATGTAAAATCCCTCGTTGTACGCAGGACTATAAAGTATAGAACATACTATTGACGATCCAACTTTAAAAACGGTAATGAAGATTTTGAAATCAACCTATACTATACTTGCTCTATATATTGATGATATTGAGCAAGTACTTAGAAACTATATAATTAATAATATTACAAAGCTTGTTAGAAAAGTTTATTTACATGTTATATGTACCTATACTTACGTTTCGGTGATACGTTGTGGATAATACGAGATCCTCGCGTTTTCATCGCTGTCAAGATCTGTTGCTTTGATTGTGAAGAACGCAGCCTGGACGAGTGGAGGAACTGGAGTAAAGCTATAGGACACTCTCGGTAAGATAGGACAGTTGTCGTTTACGTCCTGCACAATAACCTGAAACGACAGCAATTAAACGTCAGAAACTTAATGAACTTTAAGTTTTAATATTTTTAACAACATACAACAGATGCACTTTATGGCATACGTTTTGGGCAAGGAAGTGCTTGAACAGCCTAGAGGCTCTCGCTAGTTTTACTTAGAGGAACAGACAAGCCGAATTAAGTCATTACGCATACATACTAAGATAAGCGTACAAACATTAAAATGATAGACGTGCTATTAGAGAAAACAGGTCTTGGACCACAAAAGGCTGTAGAAAGCAACTTCTGTCAGGAACCATTTTTATTGTTTCTTGTTTTTGTTGGTTTTCTCAACAATCTACAGTGTCCTAGGGGAGAACTCCCTGCATGGCAGACTATAAATTGAGCTCTATATATATTAAATTACGTAAAGATGATTATTCATAATAATTTTTTTGGGCTCCACATAATTTTTTGTCAAAATAATTGATTATACTAAAAGAAATCATTTTTTAAAATAAAATTTTAGGGTCACCGATGTCGTTCACGAGTTAAATTACTTTAAAGCGAAAATATCCGCCATCTTAAAACGTCATTGTTGCCATAGCAACGGCAGCTGCGTAACTTTTGTGCAAAAATCCAAACTCTTTAGGTGTTGCTTTATGTAAGTAAGGTACTTTCTGTTTATCAACAAGTAATATTAAGCAAGCGACGTTTTTGTCAACACGGACGTCACCCGAAAATTGGTATCACTAATTTTGACGGCATTTTGCTTCATAGCGCTCGTGTGAGGAAGCAAAAAACTTTAAAAATCTTATGTTTTGTCATATATGTTGAAGATTACCACAAACTGACACAAACACAGTTTTTAATCCAGTCCCCCGGCAATCTGACGTCCTTGTTGACAAAAACATCACTTGCTTAAGCTCCCTATTAACTATTGACTATGACTTCATGACCTCAATTGTGACCAAATTTGGCGATTCTCTTGAATGAAACGACACTTACAAAAATGTTCCTACTTTTAATCCGAAAAAAAGGGAACTATTTTGATCCCCCTGGAAAGCTTACTTATTTCTTACCCTCATAGTAATGTTCCCTTTCTGGTCACTTGCAGTATCTGTGACCTCCAGCAAAATTTGATACTCTCGCGTGGCTTCAAAATCCAAATTCTTAGCCAATGTCAACAGAGCAGCTGTGTTACCAGATGGTCTGGTGAATGTTTCCACTGTGGTTGATACATCAGCAATAGGTTGTGTAATGTTACTGGAGTTAACGCACAATACCACAGTGTCTCCTGCAATATTAACCGTTTTTTCAACAGGGGGTGGAGGACTTGTTGGTGGGGTGTATGTTGAAGGTTTGATGGTGAATCTTCGTTGGTTGTTTCCACTTAGTACCTTGTGACAAAAATATTGTATCACCAGAATGTTTTTTAATCGCCTTAGGTTACAATTAAATTGTTATTAGATCATAGATCGATGATAGGCGATAGATATCGACGTCAACAAATAAAGAAACAATAGGTAATGGACAAGCACATAATAGATATACAGAATCTACGGATACGAAATGAAGAAATATAATCGTATCGATATCATATGTATAGACGATTATTATTATTATTATTATTATTATTATTATAGCTGACAGATAAATAGACCGTGGTTAATACATAAATAGATATAAATGTTATAACTAACAGATATAACTAATACAATGATAGGAAGGGGAAATTTTCTACGTACTTTAACATTGTAGGGTCCAGTCGTAAACTTGTCACCAATCCTAAACTCTTGCACAAGCGCGCCAACATGTAATGACTCTGGAACGGTAGCCAGATAATCGACAGCCTTTGTTTGTTGCCATGGTTGCACAAAAGAAATATTACTAGCTTGATAGAGAAATACAGACTGACACAGAAATCTCTCTGCCAAGAAAACATCAAGACGATATGGCACACCGACCTGAACAGAGAACAAAAAGGATTTAACAATGGCCGACAGTTATTATTGACACCTGTCATGCAGCTTTCTAATAGAGAATTTTCGAATTTTTACTACGAGGACGACGGCGACTACGAGATTCGTTGTTTGTACATGCATGCTCACCATTGCCTGATTACACCATTACGTACGCACGAGATAATCTCGCAGTACCTAAAAATCGGGCAGATTGCATTTAAAAATTGGAGAATACTACATTAAAATTGGCCAAATGATTAAAGGGAGAGTAGAGCGCAAATTCGTCGAAATAGGAAGAAGTAAGCTAAAATGTTTTAATATATATTTCGAACCCCTTCATTTAAGCAATATCGGGCAAATTTTTGTCCCTGCTCCTAATTTTTTCTCTCCGTGCGCCTATGTTGGCCACGGCAGGCTACGAGATTTATAAGGTGTCAGTGCATGATGATGTAAGAATATGGCGTATCCAACGAATCTCGTAGACGTAGGAAAGACTCTGCACGTTTCGAGCGAGGATGGTCCTCGGTAGTGTCAGTGGAATAGAAATTAAGACGCTGCTTTTAACTCTCCCAAGGAAGGACCTTCGCTTAAGACGCCAGAATTGCTAATATAGTCTTCAGTCTGATGTACGAGAATCAACGACAACGGCTTCCAATGCCATATAAACGGGAGCCAACACTGAACTCACAAGTCTTAAAGAATTGTAACAAGGCCGTTGTTTGATGAAGTTAGTAACTTACCATGAAGTTTCAATTCAAGTCGTAACAAGTTTTAGACGGTTTTGAATCAGAGTGCATGCATGCTTATACAACGAACTATGTACAACGACTTTCGCATCAGATGAGCAACTAATAATAAGACGATGGCACAAAATCACGGACATATTTGATTCACTCTACTTCCTTATATTATTAATTTATAATTAGTACATATCACGGTGAAATATGGCGTTAACTGATTGTATAACGTGATATTGTAAATGGCAATTAGAGTTGAGAGTAATGTAGGTCATTTGCAACTTGCCGAAATCGTTGGCAAAAAAACAAAGACTATAAAAAAAATTGTACATTGTATTCGCTTAGTTATTCAGCAAGTATTTCAACATGGTGGGTCTTTAACTTTCAGTATAATATATCGGTTATAGACCCTCCTAACAAGTATAACCTATATGCACAAATTTAGAAAAAACCCGTGAGAATGCGCAACAACTTAAAGGTGATGTCCACTCCGTTCTGCGCATCAGTTCTGCTCATAACAAAGGGGGACCCCCAGACATAAACATTGCCCAAATTTTGCATCTTTCGAACTTTTTTGAATTGAAACGTAGAGTTTATATTCATTTACAAGTATAGCGAACCAGAAAAGTGTTAGATATTCAGTTAGTATATCATATTTTACAAATATAGCAGTTCAAAACGTAAACAAAGTTCGCGCATGTGCACAGGAGTGGACATCATCTTTAAACTATGCCAATTATAGAGAGGTTCAGTTTTTACTTCCACTACTATAGCTTTCACTTCCTCTGTCATGTGCATGTGATTGGTTAAACGGGTAGATTAAACGCATCTCAGCAGGGGTTTCAGAATAAGCCGGCGGACGCCGGAGTTCCGCCGGCTAGTTTTCGTCTGGTCACATGCAGGAAAAATTTTATATACAAAGGTACAAGCGAACCAACACGATGTTTGTTATGTTCCAATTGGAATTCAAACAAAACATCACTTATTTTGGAAGATCAATAAGATCAATAATACATAGTACCAAACATAGCTTGCTTTCTTAAGTTGCTGTCGAAAAAGCGATAATATAAACATTCTTTTTTTCTCGTCGCCATCTTGAATTTCGTAGCAAATGGTAAGCGGCTCTGAATCTTCCTGAACAGGAAGATGACTCTGATTGACTCTAACAGTGACTTAAGCATTGGGGAATCCGAATTTGACAGTGACGCAGAGAACGAGTCAGATTCAGAGCTACTTTGGTAAATGTTTTTGAAGTGACTAATTCTTTGACAGTGAATTAATTATGATAAAGTGACGAAGTAAAGTTCATTAAGTTTTTTGAGGATATTACACAGCGGCGCGAAGATATGACTTTTATCTTCGAGTGGTGAAAACTATATATTTTACGAACGAGCACAGCGAGTGAGTAAAATATTGTTGCTAACACGAGAAGATAAAAGTCATATCTTCAAGCCACCGTTAATGTTCTGTTTATTATATAGTCCCAAGCAAAAAATTGTATAAATACTAAAAGTAACGTGATCGATATCTTCACTAGTGAAGATATGGAAAATATCTCACTGCGTATTTCTCAGTATTTCACTCTGTACTATATAACAAACATAAGTATAACATCATTTGATTAATGATTTCGGACTCATAAATTAGGTAATACTAATAGTGTACATTATCATTCTGTTCATGCATCTGTACAAATTACATTACTAGTAGCACATTAAAGTACATTAATTGTCACTTATACAAGTATAAATGCAAATGTCATCTAAATATCAGTTGTACTTTGTCTTTTTACTTATTCTATATTATTTGATTGTTAATTTGCGGCGAAAATTTTTTAAATTTCCATGCGAGGGCACGACCCCTCCCCGCGCAATTTTTTAACTATCAATCACAGCCGGCTACTTTTTTGGTACAGCCCCTACTTCAAATCATTCTGAAACCCCTGTCATCTGCATGATTGGTTAATCGGGTAAGTTAAATGCATCTGATTGGTTAATGGTCCCTTAATTAATAGTATAGCGGTATAGCGGTAGTGGAATTCAAATCTGAACCTCTCTTATATGTTACAATTTGTTTAATTTACAATTATCGCGTTATACAATTAGCCTTTCTCACGCAGGCCAATATCCGCGATTTTGGAGGTACCGCCTTACCTCGTCAAATAATCTAGACAATTAAAACAATGTAAAAATTGACTTTCCAAAGTAAATTTACCCTCATACACACAACTACAGTGATAAAAAGTCGCCTTGCGTTAAGTGTCCCCAAAATGGCGGATAAACCTGAAGGCTAATCAGTTAAAGCCATATTTCAACGTGACTATGTAATTTTATTTAGCATATGAAAACTAGAATGGATTATGTGATTTCTGGCCATGATCTCCGAAAATTACTTTCTATTACTAGTGCAATATTTCCTGCAGTATTGTACACAAACATATCAACTAAAGTTACTTACGAGAAGATTTAACTGTACTTTATTTATACTTTGCTTGAGATTTTCACAATTATGATTGGATAAGACTCCTTCTTTTACTTCAATGCTTCCGTCATCTGACAAAAAATAAAACGTTTTCAAACATAAATTAAAATTATTTGAATTAAGAGAGTTTATTCCATTTGCAGTATATGAGCAAGTTGTTTATTTGCTCAATGACGGATGCTTCCTGAAAAACAGAGAGGTCGAATTTTTTGTTGCCAACATGTTCTTGTCCTTCTCTTATATGGTAATTTAAAGATAAGTAAATTGGACCTATACAGGCGTTAGGTATTTTGTATGGTGCAACCTTATGCAGGCATTGTTAAGTTAATGGATTTCTTAGGTTGCCATTGATCGTTACAGGTGCTGTAAAGTGGACCATACAGTGAAATACTGAAATAGTGTGTATAATTGTAGGGATCATTTGTATATAGATCTACATGGTTAGGTTATGTGTGCTTCGTGAAATTATTCTTTATTAATATAATTAATATAATAAGTATGAGTAGATTAGTATATATATATATATATATATATATATATATATATATATATATATATATATATATATATATATATATATATATATATATATATATATATATATTTATATATTAACACTTCAATGTGTCTATAATAAGAAAGCTAAGTTTGTGCCACGTGAGCATGAAATTTATCATCGAATCACGCCTCTCGTCATCAAATTTGACGTAGCGGGTGATTTGATCATATCAAACCCGCGCGGCAATCACGAAAACAAGATGGCCGACAAAATAATACTAAGAGTGATGAATTACTAATTGGTCAAACTTCAAAGAAAGCTGTTTTTTTTAATATGAAGCAAACTTTGAAAAATGTTATCATCATCAACATTCCAAACGGTATGTGATTCGAAATAAAAGTGACAAGTACTTGCGTTAATAAAAAATAAAACATCGTATTCAAGTATGTGGCAAGTTTTATTTTCACAACTTGGAGGCTTTTAATTTTCGGTATAATATATCATTTATAGACCCTCCACTCGGGGGATTCACTTCAGGTAATATTTCGCCGAATCCCCCTCGTTCCAGGTCTATAAATGATTATAGTATAACAGGGTCTTTTTATGACCGGACCTAATACATATATATGTACATTTCATGCGCCAAAAAAATTTTGATCAGTGTACCATTTTAAGGGTACAATAATTTTTCCGGACATATAACAAAAATTTTTTCCAGAAATACACAATTTTTAAACAAAATACGCCAAATTTTTCCCCTTAAACATAAATTTTCAAAAAATAACCTAAATTTTTCCGTAATTATCAAAGTTTTCCAGAAAAAAATAAATTTTCCTGGGGGGCTAAGCCCCCCCCCCACTTTTACTTCTGGGGGGGGGCTTTAGCCCCCCTAGCCCCCCCCCTGTTCCGCCGCCCCTGATCTTTAGGTCTGATAAAACACGCACTGCGAATGTTTTAAATTGCTTCAAAAACGATCGATCTAGTAAGTTCATTGGCGAAGTAATTTTCAAAAAATACGTTGTGTATAAGTCGAGAAAATCAAAGTTCAAGTTTATGTAAATCAAGGGAAATCTCTATCACATATAAAGGTACGACACGCTTATGATTTTTCTTTGTGTTTTCCTGATTATTAATGAGTTTTTGAATGTAATTTAGAGATAGGTAATAGGACCTCTGCGGTTCATATAATACACCCTCCCGGAAAGTACTTAGCCTTGGCTATAGAGCCTCGTTTGCGTATTTGATTTCTTAAATGTGTCACCTGTAACAAGAAAAATGGTTCTAAATATCCAATATCTCAATATCTCAATATCGAAAACGAGGCTCCGTGCATAGCCAAAGCTGAGTACTTTCTGGAAGGGTGTATTACGACGACGTTACAGAAGATTGACGAAATTAAATGTAGGTTAATTACCTGAGACAGCTTGAAGTTCTACAACCGCACAAGGAATTGAGTTGTTTGCAGGATCATGAAATAATTGAACCACCAGTTGTTTGTTGATAAACACATAAAGTTCCTCGCCACCAGCGAACGTCAAAACCTCTCCACCAGAATATGTGAAGATATTTCTTGACGCAACCGTGAAACTAAAACAAACGAGATATTGTAGGGATTTGTTTGAAGTTAAAGCAGCAACGGCAATATATATTTGGCAAATTTAACTATGACCAATAAAAAATAAAGTTAGACTTATTATCAAAATAAATAGTTTTCAGTACAGGTAGCTTCTGAACGACCTCTTCTTATACACGCTACACTCAATTACATTAGTGCTGCCTCGTTCGCGCACAAGCAAATCCAATAAGTTTTTTTCCCCATCAAGATGCGTTCCAAAAGCGTTCTTAGGCCTGTTTCAAACGTCGCGCTTCTCATGTGCCGAACGCAATAACAACAATAGATAATCAGCTGAAATACTTGATTATCTAATGTTTTTAATGCGTTGAGAAGCACATGAGAAGCGCGACGTTTGAAACAGCCCTTAGTGTAGTGTAAAACAGTGCCAAACAACCCAAACAAGCTATGTGTTGCCTGCACATGCAAGCTATGAAGACTAAACAAATTCTTGACTCCCACGAGGTTCTTCAACCTGTAACGTCCAGATTACTGACCTGGCAGTTGAGCTAATATTATGGAATGATTGAGGTAGATTTGGGTATTTAAGTAGAGCTCAAAGTAATCTATCTTATGCTTTCAGAACGTTTCATTGCGCTACAATTAACCAACTTAACCAGTATACGCGTAGCGTGGATCTCAACAAAAAAAAAACGGCAAATACTCGCAAAGCATTCTGCTAGTAGTATCGCGCACAACAAGGAAACGTCATTAATGCTTTTATGGAGAAATTCTGAGCTAACCTTATTCAGAACCTTATAACCTTATAACAGAATGGAACGGGGGAAGTGACACCCCCAACATTTATCAAGTCGATCCAAAAAGTCCATCCCGAAACGTTTATGCAACCAAGATTTTCTGTCCGGTTATTGTGAAGTATTAAAATTCCTCCATTGCATGGCAACGGTTACTTTGCATTTATGTAACAACTCATATATTACTGTTCCAAATAGCCTAGTCCCAGTCGTTCTGAAGCAAGCGCGAGAAAAAAACGTGGATGTAATACGAGACTGGGACCTAGGGGTGACGTCACCGCTAAAGGTGCTTTAGAACGCCTAGCAGATTTCAATATTTTTAATATGGCGGAAAATTTGCATATACAAATAACCTTGTTAATACGACAATGTTCCTTGATCATATTCGATGTCTACATCACCAAATTCGAACTGTATTAAAAATGTGCTCAATTAAAAAACAGTTTTGTCGTATAATCGTTGATGTTATTTATATACTCGCGCAAGTTGTGATCAACACTAGACCATACACAACTACGCTTTCTACTTGACAAGTTTAAGTAGCTGAGGGGATTGGAAATATTTGCCTGTTGTCAAAACATTTTTAGTCGGAGACTCGGCAGTCGGCATAATTTTCAAGCTTCTAGATATCATTTAATGGCTTTATATTTTAGTAAACACGAGTCATATTTAGCCCGTTATTCCATTCTGACCGCATGGTAGCGACACGTAGCCTATTTCATTGTTCCGAAAGCATTAGAGCAAAACTAATGACTTAATTATAAACGCAAAGGAAATTTCCATAACATTAGTTCTTCTGTGTTGGTGTTGTGTACTCAGGTGAATAATATGTTTGCGATGTTACTCTGAGTGCATATCCACACCGGGCGAGCTTGAAAAATATGCCCGGCCACGGTGGGATTCGAACCTACGACTTTTGGAATACTAGCCCAATGCTCTTCCAACTGAGCTACGCGGTCAGGACGGTTCGAGTAAGTGATATTTCGGAACATTATCTAGTTCCTTCTATACCAATGTGTTCTTACTAATATGAATTTTTCTGTGTTGGTGTTGTGTACTCAGGTGAATAATATGTTTGCGATGTTACTCTGAGTGCATATCCACACCGGGCGAGCTTGAAAAATATGCCCGGCCATGGTGGGATTCGAACCTACGACCTTTGGAATACTAGCCCAATGCTCTTCCAACCGAGCTACGCGGTCAGGACGGTTCGAGTAAGTGATATTTCGGAACAGTATCTAGTTCCTTGAATACCAATGTGTTCTAGTAATATGAATTTTTCTGTGTTGGTGTTGTGTACTCAGGTGAATAATATGTTTGCGATGTTACTCTGAGTGCATATCCACACCGGGCGAGCTTGAAAAATATGCCCGGCCACGGTGGGATTCGAACCTACGACCTTTTGGAATACTAGCTCAATGCTCTTCCAACTGAGCTACGCGGTCAGGACGGTTCGTGTAAGCGATATTTCGGAACAGTATCTAATTCCTTCAATACCAATGTGTTCTAGTAATATGAATTTTTCTGTGTTGGTGTTGTGTACTCAGGTGAATAATATGTTTGCGATGTTACTCTGAGTGCATATCCACACCGGGCGAGCTTGAAAAATATGCCCGGCCACGGTGGGATTCGAACCTACGACCTTTTGAATACTAGCCCAATGCTCTTCCAACTGAGCTACGCGGTCAGGACGGTTCGAGTAAGTGATATTTCGGAACAGTATCTAGTTCCTTCAATA